TAACGGCAGGGCCATGGACGCGAGCGTTTTTCTGAAGCTTATCCAGGAGATAAACCGGTGTGTTAATGCGGCTGGAGTAGCCATCAAAGTAGGCACTCGTCGTGCTGTCCGGAGTTCCGGTCACATCTTGTAAGGTGGCCTCCCGTAACTGGACCAGAGGACTCTTCTCCGTGCGCACCTTTGATGAAGCGATCGTACGCACACGAATGTCGTCCACCAGGACGGCTCGATCGGAATTGAAGTTGAATTCTCTGCGATGCCGGGTCTTGAACTGCTCCAGAAAGCCTGAGTCATCTTCCGGTTTCAAGATCATTAAACTGGTATCGGAACCTTCATAGCGCATATTGAGGTACAGCTCGTGCCGCACTTGATCAGCTGGGAACCCTTGAGTGTTCATTTCTGCCGTAGCATTGTCTGTCATGTCATTGAAGCGCTTCTCAAGGCTTGACTGAGAGGTCTCAAAGTCAGCGGAGACCGGCTCCTGAGACTCCTTGACTACCTCGGCCAGCGCCAACCCGTACGCGGACAGGACAGAAGAGTACTTATGGATGATAATGCGCGAGATACCCAGTGACGCCGCAACCGAGCATGCATGTTGACCACCGGCGCCTCCGAAACAAGCGAGGTGATGCGAAGCAGTTTCAAAACCACGGGCTTGGGTCAGGTTGCGGATAGGGCGAGCCATCGACTCATCGGCCACCTTCAAGAATCCTAGAGCAACTTCTTCTGGAGCGTACTCCGGCTGCCCCTTCTCTTTTCGCTCCGCATTGATCTTCTGAGTTAACTCGTTGAAAAGTTTGGTCGTCACTTCGATATCAAGAGGCTGGTCCTCGTTGGGGCCGAAGATGTGCGGGAAGTACTCAGGTAGCAAGCGGCCCAGGAACAGATTAGCATCTGTGACTGTCAATGGCCCTCCTTTGCGGTAGCAAGCAGGACCGGGGTGGGCGGAGGCCGATTCTGGACCGACATAGAACAGTCCGTTGCGATACGACAAAATCGAGCCGCCACCTGCAGCGACGGTATTGATATCGAGCTGTGGGGATTGAATGAGCACACCAGCAACTTTGGATCCGAACACATGCTCGAGGTGACCGTCGAAACGAGACACGTCCGTCGAGGTACCGCCCATGTCAAATCCGATCACAGGTGTCTTCTCGATAGGATCCCAGCTGGTGGCTGCAAACCCGACCACACCGGCTGCCGGACCGGATAAAATCGCCTTCAGCCCGCTGAATCGGCGAAAATCGACAAGTCCACCGTCGGATTGCATGAACTCGAAGCGGCACTCGTGCTGGCGCTCCAAGCCACCTTCGAAGCTGGACGAAATCGAGTCGATATATGTCTTGATGACGGGGGTGAGATAGGCATCGGCTGCGGCAGACATGCCTCGTGGGACGATTTTGATCATCGGCTGTAACTTGGAGGACAACGTCACGGAGAAGCCCATACTCTCGGCCAGCTCGCCAATCTGACGTTCGTGCTCTGGGTATGCGAATGAATGGACTAGCGCGACTGACAGGGATTGGTAACCCTGGTCCTTGTACCGCTGGAGCTCCGAGCGAACCTCCTCAAGGTTTAACTCCTGCACCACACGGAACTTTTCCCCCGTCACACCCTCCACGATACGAGCCCCGGCGAAGCAATCCTTATCCGCCGATGGATGGCATGGGACGATACGCTCATTGACCTCAACCACGCCTTCTGGAAGCACTCCTGGGCGGGCCATCGACAGATCAAAAATGTTTGGCCGTGACTGGTCACCAATCTTGAGCAGATCGCGGAAACCCTTGGTGGTGAGCAGGACTGACCGAGCCCCTTTCCTCTCCAGTAGCGCATTTGTAGCCACCGTTGTTCCCATGCGCAAAGAGCCAATCCGATCCAGCTTCAGCGGTTGTCCTCTGGGGTGGGGATCGCCCGTGACGAGTTCGAGAATTTGGCGCACACCCTCGGTGGGAGCATCTTGATAGTGGGCGGGGTCAACGGAGAGTAACTTGAGGATGATGTCAGGTTTCCCGGGTACGATGGCATGTACATCTGTGAAGGTGCCTCCCCGGTCGATTGAGATGGTTACTTTCCCGTCTCCGGCCATGTTTCTCGTGTGCTGGTAGATTGACCGGATCGAGAGATGAGGATATAAGGAGGAGGAGAGACGTAGTACTACTGACAAGGTGGGTATTCCCCGGGTTTAATATACCTTCATCCGCCGTCGTGTTGCGGGACAGAGATAACGACAGCGGGACAGGCCATGGAACCCTCCATCATTTTAGTCGCTCTGGTCTCCGACTGGTTGTTGCGAGCCCACATCCACCGTCTTGCTTCGCATTCCTGCCGATTGCGTCCTTCCCCGCGGTCACGTGTCGGGCCGATGATCAACGGCGGCGGGATTTCCGGCCCGAACTCTCCGACGCGCGCATCATTGCAGTGTCATCTTTTGCCCTTGTTGCGTACATACACCCATACCTCCCTCCGTTCTATGCTATGCTCCCTAGAGATGGTTTACTCTTAGATGGCGTCCTATCCGGTCATGCCATAAGAGAAATTATGCATCGGGGAATCTGAATCTCTCATTTCTATCTATCTCTATCGAGTATGAACGTTCGATCAAACAAAGGGGTATCTACAGTATTCTATGTTACTATATAGTGATTTCATAACTCAGTGGTTTCGCGGGCTACAGTAGGCCATCAATGGTGGCAAGCCCTGGCCAGACATATCGCTGAGAATCGGTCCTTCGCCAGGACGTATGAGCTCCAGCTATCATATGAGTCAGTCAAATGTACTATTCGTAACGGAGGGGAAAAACTCACGTTGAACTTTAAAAGCAGTAAGACAACAATCTTTTTCAGCTCCATCCAGGCGACTCTAACCTTCGGAGAATTATTGATGCTGGTGCTGAACGGTACTAAGTTTTGGCTCATGGCCCACCGTTGTCGCGGGTCAACATTGAGCCAACGTGCCGGTCGATAATTATGGACGTCCTCCCCATAAGTACTAGGATCACCTCGTAAGGCTTCGGAATGAAGTTCCATCATGGTTCCCGGGGGAATGTAGTACCCTGCAACGATAGCGCCCTCGGGTGGTGTTACGACCTCACGGTTGTAGCTTAAGCTAGGCAGCTGGCGCATTGATTCCTTGATAACAGCGTCAAGGTAACGGAGTTTACCCAGTTCTTGCCACCGAGGAGGGTCGGAGAGTAGGCCCTTGTTGAACGCCGTGTCTATTTCAGATCGGAGCCTCGCCATGACGGTTTCGTGTTTTAACAAGGAGGAAAACGTTGAGATAAAAGCCATAGCAATACAGTCATATGCGCCGTCGCAACCTTGGGGAAGATCAAGGCTGGAGCTAATGGCACGGTCATCCGTAGCCCTAAACGATCGACTACTGTTGATCCCTCCCTGAGTTTTTTGGACAAATGAAATGCCACGGCGCCTTTTTAACCTAGCGACCGGGCTTCTTAGGAGCGCATATTCGATCGTTGGAAACGTGAACCACTTTGTTGGACGGTTATACCAGTGGCAGCATGCCTGCTGAGCGTTGGAAGGCATATCTTGGGTGACCGATTCCTCCAGGACCAGACGATGAATGAAGTCAGCGGTAAAACCCTGAAGGAAGGTCGTCAAGTGCACCACGGGTTGTTGCCTGAGAGATGTCATCAAATTGTTGGCTGCCTGATTAACTATGCCTTCATATCGCATTGCCGATTCCAGACACCTCCGACGAGTGGCCTTGCTCAGCAGAGTACTTTCAACATCGGTCGTCCTCGCGGACGAGCCTTGGGCGAATGTGGTACGATTGTCATGCTCAAATGTTGACTACGAAATCGATCAGTACCCAGATACCACGGTGACGCGTCATGGACGTTACCCTTTCACTCGGCCGACCATTATACACCGGAAAGATGGCCGTAGGGTCGGAAACGCTGATGGAATGAGGCCCTAAACGGACGACCTTGCCGTATTTCTTATGAAGGCCAGCTACACTACAACCATAGTTGCCTGTATTGCGAGCGTATGTCCTCCACAAGTCACATAGGCCGGTGAACAGCGGACCAGGAACAGTGCTTAAGCGGGTGTAGTTGCAAAGAGCGCGCACAAAGGCGAATAATCCCAAGATTAAGATTGCAATTACACACACAACCATTGCCGATGCCCAACTAAAACACTGCGCATCTTTCTAAAAAAGCCTGTAGAAACAGCCGAGTTTTGTTGTAGTTCAAATTTGCGAGTAGCACGCCCAACCGTTGCCAAAATTGTCCCCTATTTTTTGGGCCGCGATATTCCGAAGGGAACCCGAAGGAAGAAAAATAGCCGGAAATTGGCAGTTGGCCTTGTGGTTCACTCCGACGGTCCCCAATTACCCACCGACATGTTATTTTTGTCCGTGGAATCAACTTTGTTGACTTTCTAGCTCTTGACTAATCGCTCCCACCTCTCTAGTTGTCCAAGTAATGGATTGCAGGAAACGTGGTGCCCCATCGGGCCGATATGCTGCATTGACGGGACCATCCAACGCTTAAATGTGGGGAAAGGAAGAGAGGGGAAAAAGAGTTGAGAACCGATAGCAATCCAGATAACAGCGATAATTAGTCAAGCGTCAGGGGCTTGACTCTTTGGGTCCCACAACCGGTTCGTATCCGCTCACTTTTGCCAGGGATCATGGCACGCGACCGTACACACCCCATCGTCTGCAGTTCCCGTCCCTGCTAGTGGGAATGAATCTCTTCTACACAAGACGGCAAAAGGTCAATACACTGTCCAAGTCCAATCGGAATCTGTGGGGGGTATAGCTTGCATGTCCGTGCGTTCGTTCATTCATCGTGGACCCACGCCATCAACATCAATTCCGCGGGCAACAAGACCACGGTTTCTAAGAACAGCGTGTGCGTGGATCGGCACCACGACTAAACCTGAGAGCCAAAATTGACGGGCGCAGTCCCTGTAGTCGGTATTGTTTGATCCATCCCTCGTTGAGGGTGTGCGACATGTTCATTAGCCTGTCAAATGGCGCAAGGAAAGGACCGAAGTGGGTTACAACATCGTTCGGAAGACCGTTCCAATGCGAGACGGTCCATCGTAGCGTAGGTGACGGGTGGTTACGTTACTGTAGAGTCACGATGACTAACGGTTGACCACAGGTGTAATCGATGTCGCAACAGAAAGACCCGTTGTGCTGGCAATCCACCGTATCCATGCGCTGCATGCGAGGACGCCGGGCAAGTGTGTGTCTACTCCGAAGCTGAGAAGCGTGTTTCCATTCCCGAAAGGTACTGCACATGACTCGAGGGCACATCAGCTGAGGCAACCTGACTGACTCGATATCAAGTTATTATCGTCAACTCCAATCTCAAGCGCGAGCTCAACTTCAGGCCCAGACCCAGACCAATGCATCCCGTTCACAGGACAGCCGCCAGTCTTCACTGTTCACCACTGCTAGCCCTGTCCAATCCACCCCGTACACCAGTACCGAGGTGCCTCTTGACCGTGATGACTGGTGGTATCAGGGCACCGATCACTTATTCCTGAACCGGTCCGGAGAACACCGTGCGTAGTCCTCAATTATATATACTCTGTCATGATCTTGGCTAACATTTAGTAGAATTTGTCGGTGCATCGTCGGCTACCCATTTAGCGAAACGGTTGAATCCAACCTCAACTAATCTAGCGTGGGATGTCCGTCCGCTATATGATGATCCTTCATCGCTACGTCGGTCGATGACACGGGGCCTTCCTCAGCTACCACCTCTTGAATTTGCTAAGCGGTTGTTCTGGGTCCAGTATGCCTACATTGGAACGATATTCTCCCTCATTCACCCGCAGGACTTTGAGGAACGACTACAGGTTGTATACAACCAACCGCCCGACTTCTCCAACCGAGAATTATGCCTAGTTTACTGCCAAGCTCTGCTCGTCATAGCGTTTGGTCTCATGTACTCGGTAAACCAATGGTCCGGAGATGATGGCCCGCCGGGCTTCAAGTACTTCAAACATGCCCTGCGCTTTTTACCCGATATCCATGAAGAAGGCTCCATATTCTTTGTGGAGGTCCTATGCTATGTGGCGTATTATATGCAGAACCTCAACCGGCGAGATGCTGCCTTCCTCTATGTACGTCTGGCAACCCATTTAGATGCTATCGAAGCTGCTAACGTGTAAACGTGTCCAGATCGGTCTTGCCCTCCGCATGGCAATATCATTGGGTCTTCATCAGGAAGTTTCAGACCCAGCGATTAGTGAAGAAGACCGAAACCGTCGGCGCCGAGCTTGGTGGTCTGTGTACAGTCTGGACCGACTATTGTCAGTAAAATCGGGGAATCCGATCACCATACAAGACGAAGATATCGGAACTACATGGCCGATTCCAGCTGAAGCTTCCCCCGCGGTTCCATGGCCATCAGTTGTGCTTACATATTATACTCAGCTGTCTAGGATTTTAGGCAGAATTGGGGAAGGTGAAGAATCCCCTTGTCCTGCTAAGGAATTCTCTAGCTAACGGTGAGGCTAGAAATTTATCGCAAGAAACCTCGATCCGGCTCAAACTTATTAGCATCCGTCCAAAGTATTACGAACGATTTGTCTGAATGGCTGCGACGGATACCCGACCGGCTGCGCATTGATTTTTCGGCCTTGGATACTCATATTAACCGTGAGCTGGTGTCGATCTTCTTACACTTTTACTCCTGCGTGAACATGACAGCTAGACCGTTGGTCTTCTATGTGATCCAGCGGCGATTGGATGCCGAAGCACGAGGTTCTGCTACAGAGGACTGGAAGGACGGTCTGTCTCAAAACACGGTAGCTATGATCGACAGCTGCATAACAGCAGCGCGGGCTACTACGGTGATAATGGATGCCGCTGCGAAGCACAATTTGGTCGGTGAGTAGACCCTATTTCACTTCTTGGGATTTTCAACAGCTGATGGTACGGGCTGCCCTAAAAGCCACGTATGGATATCTGGACGGGGAGTATATCTTCTCTGCTGCCCTTCTTCTGGTGATGGTGAATGCTGCATTCCCACATAACGAAACAAATGCCCGAGCGATGGAAACGGCATTGAATCTGCTTCGCGGCATGGCGGACCGTGGAAATACGTACCTCGGCTCGCGTCATTCACTGTTACTTGAACTGCAGTCCGCCATTGGTCCGAATCGTACGAGAAGAGAGGAAGCCATGCTTGAGCTTCCTGTCACTCCAAATAGTACGCAGCGACCAACACCATCCACGAACGTGGTTGACGAGCATCCTCCGGCACTGTCACCGTGGCCACTGCAACAAGATCTACCAACGATGCGGGACATTAATTTCAACTTTGACATCAACGACGACCCAGGACTGTGGGAAGAAGTTTTACATCAGATTGATATTGATATGGATACTGACTGGATTGAGAACACGCTAAGAAAGTGATGACGTTGAACTCTAGTTTCCAGCCATCAGGGCAATGTAAAGACCAGCTCTGTGGTTATGGACGTTGGACCGAGAGTGGACATGACCTGATGAACCTTGTGCCCTTCTGTGTCCAGCTTGTAATGATTTCTACAACAGCCTATTTCTTGGATTTCATATCCTTTGACTTACAGATACCATAGCAAGCGCCTCGATAATTACTGAAGCATTAATGAATATTATGAGATGTTCCTATCAGTTCATTGTGTACTGTGCACAGAAGCCCAAGTCATAGCCGATAACCTCCCAACGCCAAAGAAAATACAAAAGTCCACCGGGATTTATCATTTAGTCCTGACGGCTATTCACCCGAAAGGTGACCTGAGCCACAACATCATTGAGGCATTTAACAGGGTTTGCTGGCATTCCCTTCGTCCTCCACGCAATATACCCATCCGGTCGCAGGAGCGATGCGCCAGTGGCAGACACTCCCAGTGCCTCTTGGAAGCTCCCTTCGTCAGTAAATTGAACGTCTCTTCCGATGCAAACATGCTTCAACGTAACTAATGATCTGAGATTCACCTGAGCCACGACGTCCCCCCATTCTGCCGACTCGGAGACCAAAGTCCATGAGTCCTCGCCCACCACATCTAAGATAGAAATGGGGTTGCCACCTTGAGTGACCCAGAAATGTGGCACATGCGTACCCGGCTGGCCGGCCCATTCGTCTGGCTTCAGCGCTCGCGGGAGGTTATTGTCGACTCCAATGAAGCCCTTCGATAAATACAGTTGTCCAAACTCCATCGCATTATCATCGAGCTTTTTACCGGCGGGCGTGGCCTTGTCGAGGTGGACTTTGTAATCGGCTCGGGCAAAGATTTGATCATGGCGAAGGAGGGCAACGGGACGCCGTTCTGCATCGTATGTGTCTAAAAGTCCGGGCGATGACTTGCCCGATAGAACGGCAGCGAGCTTCCAGGCGAGGTTATCAACATCGTGGATTCCTGTGTTTGCTCCATATCCTCCTCGGTTCGGTGGCAGCGTGTGTGCCGCATCACCGGCGAGAAAAACACGCCCCGACTGGAAGGTGTCTGCGACAAGAGCTGCTAAGTCCCAGCGACCGGTCGTGATTATGTCAACGGGTAGGTCCGATCTACCGATGGCTTGATTGATCGCCGAGCGAAGGGTGGGTTCATCACGCTCAACGTCATCGTGAAACATCAACACCCACCGGCCGTCATTGTAGGTCGTCATAAACGCTTTGAGATCCGGCTGATCGATATTGAATTGGTGCACTCCCTGCATATACTGCTCCAATGGAGCGCGGAACAGGACGCTGCGCATGGTCTGCATATGGCCGCGCCCATTACGTGGGATGTGGAGTAGCTCACGGACTGTGCTGCGATTGCCGTCTGCAGCGATGAGATATGAGCCTTCGATTTGTGTCTCCTTTTCCTGGGGATCGACCACTGTCACAGTGACACTATGTGCGTTCTGCTGCACGTCTGCTACCCTATGCTGTCGCCGGATGTCCACACCTCTTTCGACGGCTGCCGCTTGGAGGATAGCTTCCAATTGATCCTGTGGCAAGGCTGCGCCGCGAGATGGCGAATACTGTTTCTTCGGAGCAGGTTCTTCTTGGTTTGACCTTTTATTGGAGCTGTCTGTGTCTGACCAGGACGTGCTTTCAAACCATTTTCCTGTCATGCTCTCGACTCTCGCTCTCATCAGATTGAAGTCTTTGGGGATTTCTGGGATTTGATCTGCGATGCCGAGCCGTCGATATATTTCCAACGTCCGCGACGTAAAGCCAATAGCACGTGGGTGCTTCGAGATGCCTGCATGTTTCTCCAGGACAATGGTAGGTACTCTCTGTTTGGATAGACACAGAGCGGCCGAGAGCCCGACTAGGTTGGCCCCAACAATGATGACGGGTTGGTGAACCGAAGGAGACTTCATGATGTCGAATGAAATTGAGTAAAACAATCTTTGAATTGGAGCGAGAAACGAATTCTGTCCAGATGATGAGGATCTCACTCTAGTCGTGCTGTGAATTACATTCCACAACGGGGCTTTTTTCCATATTCTTATACGTTGTGGGAGGGGACGGTCGGGCCCGAGACGCATCCTGTCTTACCAAATTTGCCTGACTTCGGGCCGAAGCTGCACCCGAGCTCGGAAGAATGACAACTTCGGACAATCATCAATTTTGATTTTCGTAATACCCTCACAAGTGTATATTTCCCTCCCAACTAACCTCCGGGAACCTAGGCACTGTGCAGACAAGGTTTATCAGTATCACCGTCCCCCTTGCTCCGTTGAGATCAGTACATCGGATAGGATTGATGTTGACTGGTCTATCGTAGGTCGATAGACGGTTCGTCGTATGTGTTTTGTGGTAGTATGCGCATTATGGACATTACATCCAGAACTATATCTGGCGAATATGAACACTTTAATACTGGGATGAGGGCCCGATTGTTGGTCCTGGTGGTGACGCAAGCCGGCTCTTTCACCATCATGAGTTGACTTGTTCCGTTTTCGGAAGACAGTGACATGGAACACGAACTGTCGAGACTTATATGGGTATTTGAGAAGGATGTTTTGAGGCCCCGTTTGAGAGGATTTACCATGTCTCGACTGATTGATATATGAAAGATGCTCCAAGGTTTAGTTTAGGCAAGATCATCGAGTGTGGAGAGTGTTGGATGGATGTTGTGGACCAGTGTGCCGAGCAAATCAATGCAAATTCAAACTCATTACCTAAGTGCCTGTAACAGACATTCTCCACCATTGGGTCCAGTATCGTGCATCAGATCAATGTCCAGGTCGCTCGTTTCACAAACGAGGCTCGCTGGCTGAACACGAATATTACTCCCTAGAGCCTCCGAGCATAGAAGGCCTGGGATAGACTGCTCATCTAGGAGCAAAGGGAAAGTTGGACACGACCAGGCTGGGATTCGGGAGGCGTATCAGGCCACACACCCATTCTTAGAGGAAAAAGTCGGCTGCCTTGGCCAAACTCATCCCGTACAAATTACCAAACCAAGTATAGGAACAGCTCAGCACCAAGTAGTGCACTAAAGAATACGTATGCGGGTTCTGATTGGTGCATGGTGTTATTTCCGCGATCCGTTTGCCGTGGAAGAGCTGCAGCAAATACTAGTTGGGTCTCGAGTGGAGTAACTATGCCAATGCTGTGTGCAGTGAGTCCATGCATAGGCACCCTTCGAGCCAACGTAGAATGCCCCGTATTATAGACACGACCGGGAACATTAATCTAACGATGTGTTTCCCCGCGAGCAGGAACTTGTACCCGCTTTTGGTATCAAGCTAGATTGGTTCAAGGACCTTTCTGATTGAGACGATGTCGCTTCAAAGTAATGATAGGGTCGTATAGAAGTGGAACCGGTGGAGACCCACGAGAGAAGTGTGGGCAATCGAAGGGTAGATTGAATTCCACTGGGACGCTCTTGTTGCAATGGGATGTCTACAATGGCTCGATTTTGGCTTCTGTCGAATTGCTCGACGCTGACCATGACTAACAACAGCGTACATGGATAGTCATAACGGAGCACCCTGCTCCGTAATAATTATTGTCTCCCTGTACACACGGCTGAGGCACTTACAGGACTTTCCGGACAAGGCCCCTAGTCTCCTGCCAAAATTGCTGGCTCAGTCAAAAGTCTCGGCGCACCAATCTTGGCACGGCTTATCAGGGTAACTTATGCGGATGGACAGAGCAGTCCTGAGCTGATTGCTGAAGATAATGCCGCTTGCATCATCACCATGGGTTTTGCTCTAGAAGCTGCCGCGTCACTGCAATCGACCAGCCATGGCGGAAGTTAAAGGCAAGATTTTTCCCGATCGTGGTAACACCATTTCTCTTGTGCAGGAATGAGAGAATAGACGGAATTCTACTTCCCGCGATGGAAGTAGGCCGTGCAGGCCACCATACCTCACCATCTCAGCCATATTGATCATCGCGCAGATGGGGGAACAGCGCACCGACTTGTATGGCTCAGCCCCAACCGGTACTTGCATTAGTGGCTGTCAATTTCTATTATAGAGTTGGCGAACAGTGCCATAGGCAAACAACGGGGAATTCGGAGGTTGATCCTTCACCAGTTGTGGTTACCGAGGGAATTAGCGGGGCCCGCAGGAGTCGGAATGGCTGCAGCGATTGGTGTTGTTGGCCTTGGTGGATCAGACGTCAACCCCATCTTTGACGGTTGGAAGGAGGGAACAATGTCAATTTCTGTTCTGATTGGCAATTTCGCTCGCGCAATCTTAAACCCCTGGCGAGGTGCTTTGATACGGACACTAATGGCCTGCACCGGGATGGTTGCATTGAGCCATGGCATTCCAATGACGGCAATGGCTTTCTGCTCAGGTCTTGTTAGGTCTTGTCTTGTTGGTGGCTTGGGAAGTTGACGGAAGTACCAGGCAGAAAAGTTAATAAATGTGAGCGCAATATGGAAAGTATGGCGATCAGGAAGGATATGATGGTGTACAGAAGACGGCATTGTGTGGAGGGGGGTTTCGCATGGTCCAGTGATCCAGGCAACCCCCAACCCGCGTTGGCCTCAGGTTCCGACAATGGATTGTTTTGTATGTACCTCACCCTCAATCTTTTGTGTTCTTGAAACCAAAAACCAACATTCCATTTCTTGATCCTCTGCCTCCCATTCCAATCCACATCGACAATCATGCATCTACCCAGCCCTCACTTCCCAACTATCTCCAGATATCGTTCTCTCACCCCCTCCCCGCATTATGCCGATCGACTGATCCACAGTGGGTGAGAGCGATAGTGGCAGGCGGGGAACGATGACAGTGGAGTGCTTTCCACTGTCCGTCCAACAATGTCGGAATACCCAGCTACTTGTCCGATGCAGACTCCACCAAGACCCAGGGATCGAGAACCTCGCGTTGATTGCCTTACTATACACCATCGACCCTGATTGGCTTGCAGATACCTGAATATGTGTGCACAAGGAGCGTTATCTGAAGGACGCAAGTGTCTGCTCACCCGGCATAAAAGACCCCCTAATGTCCCCGGAAGTTCAATATTCAAATCTTTCCAATCTTTCATTTATTCTCCATTATTTCCAGCCTTACCTTGCCTACTTTCCATTTTTAAAAACAGTTTGTTTAGCTTCGACATCAGCCCTACATAATGATTGCCCCTTCGGAACCTGTCCCGTCCTCCAACTCTGCTGCAGCCCTCACCCAATTCTTTCCCGGTGCCGACTTCAAGGAGGCTTTCAATGAGAAGGTGATCTTGATTGTGGGTAGGTAATCCCCTCTGAGCTCCACTGGGTGCCCAACCTAACCCGCTTTGTGATAGGTGGTGCCAATGGCATTGGAGCTAGCCTTGTTGAGCTCTGTTGCCAAAGCGGCGCTCACGTCTGCATTGGCGATATCGATGTCGCCCAAGGAGAGGCCCTAAGCAAGAAATGTCGAGACAAGTGGCCTGTCTACTGGGACCCGGCCCTTCCACCCAAGCCTCCCCGAACCTCCTTCTACACCGCCGACATCACCGATTACCAGGCCGTCGTCTCCCTCTTTGACCGTGCATTCAAGACCTACAAGCGTATCGATCATGTGGTTGTCACAGCGGGCAGCATGGAGGCGGGCAACAATTGGTTTGACCAAAAGTTGAGTCTGGAGTCGGTGCAAGAGGTAAGTCCTCGTCTATACATGCTCATAGGAGGGAAGTGTACTGAGCTTTCACCAGCCTCCTTCTATGAAGGATATCGACGTCAACCTCATCGGTTCACTCTATGTGACCCGTATTGCGAGTGTCTACCTCCGCCATAACCGTGGGCCAGGAGTGGATCGATCCATTTTGCTGTTCTCCTGCGCCGCGGGCTTCAAGGAGACACCGGGTGTATCTATCTACCAGGCCTCCAAGCACGGTGTGCAAGGCCTCATGCGCTCTCTTCGTCCCTACTTCCCCTCGCCATACAAACATAACCTCCGCATCAATACCATCTGCCCCTGGATGACGGAGACCCGCACTACCCTTACAAAGACCGTGCACGACCGCTGGACCAAGGAAGGCTTGCCCGTGAGCACCCCTCAGGAGGTGGCTCTCGTCTCTGCTGGCGTGTTAGCGAACGACTCTCTAAATGGGACATCCATGTACGTGGAAGGGGGCCGTGCGTGGGAGATCGAAGCCAATATCGATCGCTTAGAGCCAGAGTGGCTGGGAGAGGAACCGTCCAAAACGCTGGCGTTAGGACAGAAGGTACTTAATGACGCATGGGCTGCGTAGAGAGTCTACCATGCTGAACCAGTTGCATGTTGGAACATGTGTTACCAATTGATACCCATTAATGACCACGAGAATGACTGAACTATCCGAATGGAAAAGTTAAAGAATGTTCTATGCCCTATGATGAAAGGTAGTTCGACGTTGTAATTTTCAAACCACCATTTCTCTATTGTTGCTGCTAGACTAAGGTCACAAATGTACCCAATAGGACAGAAGAGGCATATCCATGCGTCGATTAGGTACCTAGTACAAGTTTCAGCAAACCTGGACCGTGAAGCCGCCAACACATCCCATGAACCTGGGTTTGTGGCCCAACTTCGTCCCGTTGCAATCACCGGAAGCGATCAGCTGTTGCTCAATATGTAGCAACTGCATGGGCTGTTCATCATGGCATTAGAGTTTTGCCTGTAACCCGCTTTTTCAACCACGGGCACGAATGAATATCGGTAGTAACTTGCTGCTCTTTCTTGGCGCTTAACACAAAACAAGCAATGGAGCTGAATGACCAAAATAAAAGGCTCACTTTAGGAAGGACACGAAGCGGTGTCCAAGAATGTCTCGTGGGTTGCTTACGGGCATGATGTCACATCGGCAGCATCGAGAGATGCTTGGTTCGTTTTGTGAACTTCTGAGCATCTATATAAACAGGCGGAAGCGATGAAACGAGTGAGTTGAAACTTCCATCCATAGGGTCCTAGCAACAACATCCCCACCGTTATACTCAGTACTCTGCTGCAGGACCATGGCCAACAAGACTGTCTTAATTACAGGGGCATCAGGCTTCGTCGCCACCCACGTCGTTGAATCGTTCCTGCGTGCCGGTTACAATGTCCGCGGCACAGCTCGATCCGAACAGACGGCCAATAAGGTCCGCTATACCTTCCAGGAGTATCAAGACAAGTTGAGCGTTGTCATTGTACCTGATGTCGTTGCTGCCAAAGCCTTCGATGAGGCCATCGAAGGAGTCATCGGTGTCATTCACGCCGCGGCACCCTTCCAAACGGAAGTCGACGACAAAGAACGAGATCTGATGCGACCTGCCATCGACGGAACGGTCAATCTGCTGGACTCAATTAAGAGAAATGGCCCTCAGATCCGCCGAGTCATCCATACGTCTTCTTTTGCCGATATACTCGATATGTCAAAGGGAGACCGGCCAGACTACGTATACACGGAGGCAGACTGGAATCCGATAACATATGCGGAGGCCGTAAGTGAGGGCACCCCGGATATAGTATCCTACTGCACAGGAAAGACCATGGCGGAGCATGCAGCGTGGGATTTCATGGCCACAGAGAAGCCTCCATTTGACCTGGTCACGATCTGCCCGCCGTACGTGTTTGGTCCGGTGAAGAGCGCTACAGCAAGCCTGGTTAACCTGAACACTTCGTCTATGGATGTGTATCGCCTCATGTCGCCCATGTCAAAGCCAAGCCACTCTATGCCAGAAACTTCAGTGTGGGCATGGGTGGATGTGCGTGATGTTGCTGAAGCGCATCTAAAAGCCTTCGAGGTTCCCGAAGCTGGAGGACAGCGGTTCTTGGTTTCTGAAGGTAGATACAGTTATCAGCGAATAGCTGATATTCTCCGAGATAGGGTGGCGGAAGTGAGAGATCGTGTTCCTTTGGGTAAACCACAATTCGGACTACACGATGTCTATGACATCGATGCGTCCAAGTCAGAGAATGTGTTGGGGCTGAGGTATCGTCCCTTGGAAGACTCGATAGTCGACGCGGCAAAGTCTCTTCTGAAGCTGGAGCAGGCGAATTGATATTGTACTACATTATTCTGAGTTTCGCTTATATTATTTCCTTATGCACCAACAGGATTCATTGACTTTCGGCACGCTCTAGGATAGACCAGGTCCTACAGATGCAAGGCTTGGTGTACAGGGACTTGAAGCAATTACCAATTCGGCGGCTGGGACACTGGATTCTACACGTAGAAATACACACCGTACTGTCCCAGGCGATCTTCTGTAGAACGGATACAAGTATGATTTGGTATCGCACTTCGAGCGGTCGCCACTACCGATATTTCAATCTATCTAGAATATTTAGCGCCTCGCCTTCCATACTCCGTACCTCGCATGTTATCTCAGCAGACTCAGACCTTCTGACGAGGAAACGGTCTGTATGAGACTTCGCTTAGATTTATGCAAATCCTGGTCTAATCAGAGCGCAGGCCACAGTTTCCTTGTTAGAGGGTCTGAGTTCAGATAGTTGATCTTTCTTAGAAATGAATCTCTGCTTCTCTGTGGGAGGTATATCCTCTTTCACCTTTGGTACAGAAACAAAATATACTGTACAATAGTAGCCATACCCGATACTATCCGAACACTGTGCTCCATTAAGGTAGCCCAGCGCAACAAGAACAAGATGGCGGGCAAACTTATGAGCCGGCCAGTGGTGTCGCAATATGCACACGCCGCGACACTCATGGGGATCGACCTGGCTCCTGCAGGTAGTCGATAGCATACAACAGGTCGATTGATTTGCGCGAGATATGGCAGAGGCATTAGGTAAGGCGTCCTGGTCATGGTTGTGAAGGGCGCTATAGAGCTCCTGCTGAATAGGCTCGCTCTGAAGTATCTATTATTCCTTCTCCAGGTGAGAGTTTAGGGATACTGGAGTGTCTTCCATTGTTGTTGGATAGAGTGGACCGTCACTTAGCAGCGTATGAAGGAAGATAATGGCCGTATTGCATGGGGTGGAACGCTGTGAGAATGTTCACTAGATAATGAGTCCCTCGAAATCAACCAAGGCTGAGCCAATGGGACACTAAAGTCCGGACTGAGTCTCCTTGAGCGCTCAGTTTGGGCTGCTTCATGGAATCTGGAGATGACCTGAACTTCAGGACTTCATCTATAGGCATATTTACGTCTTACGTCGGCACGTCTAAACCCCTGATGGTCTAGTTGGATATGACGTCTGACTGTAATGGGATTTCTTACCTTGTAATCAGAAGGTCGCTGGCTCGATTCCGGCTCGGGGGACGACTATTTTTTGTTTTTGAGGTGGCTCATCTGTCTATGTGCAAAGTGTAGTTGATTCGAATCCCCCAGCTACCAAACCTATTTGTAGGGCCTCATTGGAGGCGGGATTGGCTAAATATATGCCCGGTACTAGAAAAAAGGTTGGAGGTCTTGAGCAAAGGGCCAACATTTATCTCTCCCCTTCCCTGTCTCTATGCTAAGTGTGATAGAAGCGTTGTATAGCTTTTTTCGGCACCGTGATTGATATTTCTACTCATGTAGGACGACTGTATGCCCTTGACTGGCTGTTTTTGTTTCTCCAGAGTCCAGTTAGAGATGTATTCACTATTGACGTATATAGGACAACTTTATAGCATTCAGTCACAATCACAGACCTATCCAGTCGTGACTCGGAACATGTTTTACAGCAGTGGCTATCTGACAGCAATACATGTCTTCTATGATAGTACAATATAATACACGCTGATCGATGTATTGATAAATGCAAGTCTAAGCCTTCGCCGGCCGAACCATGTAGATCTGTACGAATTCCTCCGTGATCTCATTTGATCCCACTACCTGGAATCCCTTCTTTTCGTACAAGGGCTTGCCAGCCGCAGTCGCTGTTAGAAAAGTGGGCTTACGGTCAATATCAGCCTCCTCCAGCCCCCAGCCCAGAAGTTGACTGCCTATGCCCCGACCACCAAAGTTTGGGTGAGTCGCGAGCATATCCAGTGCTGTTGCCATTGATACTTAGTATATCTATAAGAGAGAGTTTGGGATAAAGGTACATACACAAATAGGGGGTTGATCCCATAAGCTCCTCCTCTTTCTCATGCATCGCGTTGAAATGCTTCCTACGAAGTGCCGTGTCACCACTTTTCGGCCACAGAACTTTCTTTTCTTTCTCTGCATTTTCACCCGGCGAGGGCAATTCAGTAGAAGGAAGCTTCCACTGTGCAAATCCAACGACATCACCGGTCGTCGTATCCACCGCCTTAATGAGCACTGAGCCAGTGGGATTCACATATTGGCCGTTACTGACGCGGTTGAATTTGGCGGCGAGCCAATCCCGGACATCCGGTGTTGGAGGGAGGATGCGACGGTCGAAGTCGGTGTTGAATGCGGCGAAGAAAATGTCAGCTAGGACTGCTCCATCATCGGAGGCAGCCGTCAGGATTTCAATTGGCATTTTTGGTATTGCTTCTGTTGGTGAGCATCGAGGGCGTGCCATCTGGAAGATTTTCACCGTCCGTACGTCATTGAAGTGAAAGTGGGTCGCCCGCTTGTTGCCTAGTTAAAAAGAATGGTTCCAAGTGTAGAGATGAAAACAATTGAAGTCTGTGTATTCGGTTTCTTCCTTTTTTTTCCTTATCCCTTTCTTCAGTTTTCTTTTTTTCCTTTTTCTTCGATGGGTGATATGCGGTTGCTCTGCTGCGGTGCCAAGGCAATTGCCCTAAGTTTGCTACCAAAACAACAGTTTAATTTAATCCATGAACCATGACACCATTTGAATGTGCGTCATGAAGAGGTCTTCACTCTAGCCAATGATTTAAGTACAGTAAGGAACAAATTGCAGCCCTAATGGATGGCTTAGTGCGTCTAAGTCAATGTCAAATTGGATTGGAAGACAATAGATCATTCCTCATAGCACGACAAAAGCGACAAGTTTTGGGGATACATTGACGGATTAAACGGGCACCTTGAGCGTTAGACAAGCTCAATTGAGAGTTTGCATTGTGGCTCATGATTCTCAAGCGAATACAATGCATATTGTTACTGCTATTCCCATAGGAGTAGGGAAGCCAGTGAATCGACCGGGGATACCTCCCTTCGGCTAAATTCTTTGGCGACCAGATGCGCTCGGACTATGGGAAATATAACCTCTCATGTTAGGAAGAAAGCAGTAAACTGTGATTCTACAAGATTGCTCACCCATTGAATCACTTACCTTCGAGAAATATCGATAGCCCCAATCATGAACAAACATACCTCCGACACCAAAGCCCTCCTGAGGGATTCCTAC